AAAATATATGCAAATGATATGACCAATAAGGGATCAATACCCAACATATATAAACAGCTCATATAACTCAACATCAAAAAAGCAAACAACCCAAGTAAAACATGGGCAGAAGAACTGAACAGACATTTTTCCAAACAGGATATGCAGATGGACAATAAGCACATGAAAAGATGCTCAATAATCACCAGAGAGATAGAAATCAAAACCACTTGCAATATCACTGCACACCTCTTAGAACAGCTATCATCAAAAAGAATGCAAATAACAAATGTTGGTGAGAATGTGGAGAAAAGGAACCCCATTTACACTGTTGGTGGAAATGTAAACTGGTGCAGCCACTATGGAAAACAGGTTTCTCAAAAAAACTAAAAACAGAGCTACCATACAACTCAGCAATTCCACTCCTGGATATATCTCCAAAAAACTAAAACACTAATTTGAAGAGATACATGCTCCCTGATGTTCATAAGTAGTCAAGATATGGAAGCAACCTAAGTGTCCACCAACAGATGAATGGATAAAGAAGATATAGCGTTATGTATATAAACACGTACACACAAGAATACCATTCAGTTATGAAAAAGAATGAAATCTTGCCATCTGCAGCAACACTGGTGGACTGGAGGGCATTAGGCTAAGTGAAGTAAGTTAGATAGAGAAAGCCCAATACTGTACATCACATATATGTGGAATCTAAAATATAAAAGAAACTACTGAATATAAAAAAAAAAAGAAGCAGACACACAGATACAGAGGACAAACTAGTGGTTACCAATGGGGGGTGGCAATATAGGGGTGGTTGAATGGGAGGTATAAACTACTGGGCATAAAAGCGAAGTGAAGTCACTCAGTTGTGTCTGACTCTTTGTGACCCCATGGACTGTAGCCCACCAGGCTCCTCCATCCATGGAATTTCTCAGGCAAGGAATACTGGAATGGGTTGCCATGTCCTTCTCCAGGGGATCTTCCTGACTCAGGGATTGAACCCAGGTCTCCTGCACTGCAGGCAGACACTTTACCACTGAGCCACCAGGGAAGCCCACTGGGTGTAAGTTAGGCTATAAAGATGTATCGTACAGCATGGGGAATATAGCCAATATTTTGCAGTAATTGTAAATGTGGTGTTACCTTTAAAAATTGCATTAAATATAAAAAATTTTAAATAAATAAAAAAGACAACCTGATAGAACTGAACAAACCATAAGTGTAAATAATTAAAAGAATATTAAAATGGCCAAACATTGAAATCACATCAAATCAAGAATTTATTGGACTTCTGTGTTATTCTTTTGGGGGGTAAGAATTTAAACATCAGTCAATCTCTGCATATGAGTGAACTTGAACACAAAGGCAGCAACTTTAAAGCCAAGAAGTGAGAAATTTCAATCTTTCAGAGCCATAATTTATGAACCCAGCAACTAATCCTTATGTGTTAAATAACTACATCACATAATGGTATGCTTTCTTTTTTAAGGTTTGTTGAGAAGTCAGAATTGTAGGATTTTAAAAATATACTCATTAATTCATGACCTGAATTATAATAAAAAGTAGGTTATACCCTTAAGTCAAATAAGTGAAACTGCATTATGATGAGCCCAGTCTACTTGCTGAAGGCAGAGAAGGGATAAACATCTTCATTTCCTCTGCAAATTCAGTCCATTCATTATCTGGACTGTAAGTGCTCCTTGAATGTAACTTGAATATTTATTTGCTCAAGTAACCCAAGAGAGGCAAATGCATGCATAATTCCGTTACAGTCTCTTCCATGTGTGCTAATAACATTTTGGAGATAATTTTACACTTATTAGGTGAAACTTAGTAAGAGGACTCTAAAAGAGTATTATTATAGATTATTATTATCCAAGAAAAAAAGGATACTGTGCCCTATCTGAAACCTTGTTTATAAAGTGATGCTGCATGTTACCTCAGTAATCTCTCCAGAATGAACCACACACACAATGATCAAAATACTGTATTTGAAAAGTAAAACCATTTTAATTGTGCAAATTAAGAAACTTGTTGCCATAATTATGGTCACACCATTATTCTACATGTTTAACTTTATGAAGCAGCAAGTAGTGAATGCCCACCTGGTCAAAAAGCATTACTCCTCATTCCAATGACCTTTTTTGTAGAAATAGAAAAACCCATCCCAAAACTGGAGAAGGCAATGGCAACCCACTCCAGTACTCTTGCCTGGAAAATCCCATGGACGGAGGAGCCTGGGAGGCTGCAGTCCATGGGGTTGTGAAGAGTCGGACATGACTGAGCGACTTCACTTTCACTTTTCACTTTCCTGCATTGGCAAGGAAATGGCAACCCACTCCAGTGTTCTTGCCTGGAGAATCCCAGGGATGGCGGAGCCTGGTGGGCTGCTGTCTATGGGGTTGCACAGAGTCAGACATGACTGAAGCGACTTAGCAGCAGCAGCAGCATCCCAAAATTTATATGGAATCTCAGGGGACCTTGAAGAGCCAAAACAATATTAAAGAAGTACAAAACTGATGACTCACACGTCCTGATTTCAAAACTTACTACAAAGCTACTAAAATCAAAATAGTGTAACACAGGCACTCTACAGACATACAGACCAAGTGAATAGAATAGAGAGTCCAGAAACAAACTTTTGCATATACAGTCAAATGACTTTTGACAAGGGTGCAAGACCATTCAATGGGGGAGGACAGCTTTTTCAACAAATGATACTAGGGAAAAGTGGATATCCACAGGCAAAAGAATGAAGCTGGACCCTTATCTAACACTGTATACAGAAATAAACTCAAAATAGATTAAAGACCTAAGACTATAAAGACCTAAGACCATTTCTTTCATCAAAGAAAACATAGGGCAAAAGCTTCATGTTGTTGGATTTGTCAATGATTTCTTGAGTGTGACACCAAAGGCTAAGGCAACTAAAGAAAAAATAGACAAATTGGACTTCATGAAAATTTATACTGTTTTGTGCACCTACAGACACCATCAACAGAGTAAAAAGGCAACCCACAGAATGAGAGAAAATATTTGCAAACCATTTTTCTGATAAAGGATTAACCAGAATGTACAGAGAACTTCTAAAAGTCAACAACAACAGAAAACAACTTGATTAAAAAATGGGCAAAGGATTTGAGTAGGTATTTCTCTAAAGCAGATATACAAATGGTCAATATGCACATGAGAAGATACTCAACATGAATAATCCTTAGGGAAGTGCAGAAAAACAAAAAAACCTACAATGAAATACCCCTCACATCCATTAGGGTGGCTGCTATAAAAATAAAGAAGAAAAATTACAAGTATTAGAAAGGAGGTGGAGAAACTGGAACACTTGTGTATTATGGATAGGAATATAAATTGTACAGCCACTATGCAAAACAGTATGATGGTTCTTCAAAAAGAATAAAAACATAATTACCATATGATCTAGCGATACTACTTCTGGGTATATAATGAAAAGACTGAAAGCAGAGTCTTGAAGAAATATTCATACGCTCACATTCATAGCAGCATTACTTACGATAGCTAAAACGTAGAAGCAACCCAAGTGTCCCATCAACAGATGAATGAATGAGTAAAATGTGGTATATACACACAATACAATATTCAGACTTGAAAAGGATGAAAACTCTGACATATGAGACAACACGGATGAACTCTGAGGACTGTTTCACTTGGTGAAGGTCTTCCCTGGTGGTTCAGGTGGTAAAGAGTCTGCCTGCAATGTAGGAGACCTGGGTTCACTTGGTTAAGTGAAGTAAGTCAGGCACAAAAATACAAATACTGTTATTCCACTTACAGGGAATGCCCAGAATACTCAAACTCACAGAGACAAAAGGAAGTATAATGTTAGCTGCCAGGGGCTGCCAAAAAGATGGGAATGGGAAGTTATTTTTTAATAAGTATAGAATTTCAGTTTTAGCAGATGAAAAGCATTCTGGAATGAATAATTGTTTTGGTAACACATTATGAATGTATTTTATACACTTAAAAATGGTTTGAATGTCAAATTTTATGTTATGTGTACCTTATCACAGTATTAAAAAAAAAAAAAAGAAACTGGAGAAAAAAAGAAAGTTACTAATGCTCTCTCTCCTAAACGTTTAGGAGATTCCATGGTGGTCCAGGGGTTAAGAAACTGCCTTGCAATGCAAGACACAGGTTTGATCCGTGGTCTGGGAAGATGCCACATGTCCTGGAGCAACTAACTGTGCTCCACAACTACTGAGCCCATGCTCTGGAGCCCAGGAGCCACAACAACTGAGCCTGCTGGCCACAACTATTTCAGCCCGTGCACACTAGAGCCCGTGCTCAGCAACATGAGAAGCCACCACGATAAGAAGCCTGAACACCGCAACTAGAGAGTAGTCCATGCTCTCTGCAACTAGAAAAAGCCTGCACACAGCAACGAAGACCCAGCATAGCCAATAAATAAATAACATTTTTTAAAAAGAGAAACTTTTAGGATATCAAAATTAAAAATTGCTTCAAGTTTTATATAGTAGTTTTATTTTCAAAGCAAGTTACTCAATACATTTCAAAACAAACAACCTTTTGACAGAAGTGTAAAAAAAAAAGCATGAGGCTAAGGCCAGAATTATTAAACCTATATCAACCAGCAGGGGAATGGCTGATATATAAAATATAATTATCCTGAATTTCACCAAATATTTCTCCCAAATCAATGAATACTTTATTAATCAAATTATCATAAAAGCTAAAACTGAAGTTAAAATTTTCACTACAATCTTAAAAAGCAAATTACCTTAAGATTGTCAATGTGTCTTTCAATTTTTGAATGTGCATATTACAAATTTTATTTAGTTAACAAAACTACTACATCAAATTTGTCTTTCATCAACAACCTCCAATGGAATTTCATACAACCATGCTGGAGATATCCTACTGCCCTGACAACATAAAAAGACTCTTTTGGAAGAAGGGAAACAAGGAAGGATATACAGAGAAAGGTGTTCAAAAATTATTTTGAGAGTTTTAATACATACCAGGCTCCAATTTGATAATTTTTACTGCAGCCAGCTCTCCCGTATGTATATTTCTGGCCTAAAATAAAAATGAAAATAAAAATTTTTTAAAGTCTGTCAACTATATAAAAGTTACTTGGTACTTTGTTAATTAGTTACTTATCAATCAGGTTTTTAACAAAGCTGAAAAATAAAATCTTTATTTCCAATGAAATGAGAATAATAATTTTCCCAGTAAGGAAAAAAATAGAAAAAAATACACACACACACACAAAACTACCTTTAATCTCACCACTGAAAGACAACTACTGTTTAAAATTTCGGTTTCCTTCCAAGTCTTTTCTTACACTTAACTTTCCTCAATTAAAAAAATTACTCATGGTTTATTATATATTTTATAAATATAGTCACAGGTCATTAAAGGAAAATAAAAATATCAAATCATGTATCTTACTATCCAGAGGAAAAAAGCTAACATTTAGTCTACATGTTTCCTTTTTTGCCCTGTGTGTGTGTGTGCTCAAATGTGTATGTGTTGTACAAGACATGTCATCACAGTCTTCTACAATATGGTGTGCAGTTCAGTTCAGTTGCTCAGTCATGTCCAACTCCTTGTGACCCCATGGACTGCAGCACCCTAGGCCTCCCTGTCCATCACCAATTCCTGGAGTTTACTCAAACTCATGTCCATTGAGTCGGTGATGCCATCCAACCATCTCATCCTGTCGGTCCCTTCACCTCCCACCTTCAATCCTTCCCAGCATCAGGGTCTTTTCCAATGAGTCAGCTCTTCGCATCAGGTGGCCAAAGGATTGGAGTTTCAGCTTCAGCATCAGTCCTTCCAATGAATATTCAGGACTGATTTCATTTAGGATGGACTAGTTGGATCTCCTTGCAGTCCAAGGGACTCTCAAGAGTCTTCCAACACCACAGTTCAAAAGCATCAATTCTTCGGCGCTCAGTTTTCTTTATAGTGTGCAATGCTGCCTAGTTTTCCATTGATGGTACATGTAATTTATTTAAATTATCTGCTATTAATGGACTTTTAATAGGATTAGGATTTAATAGAAACTAGGATTTTAATATTAGTTTGGAAGTAGAAATATATATATATATATCTTATAGCTTTATATCTATCTATAGCCTTATTTCCCTCAAATAAATTCCTAGAAGAGAAAATATTTACCAGTTAACAAAATATCATGGACAGACTTAGTATAAATAATACTTCAATGATTATCACAGCGATTATTTTAGCACATATCAAAATCTATCAGTAAGGCAACCTATAAGCATAATTGTTACATCAAAAGGTATGTGGATTTAAAATGGACATACTGCCATATTGCTCTGAAAAAAAATTATTGGGATTTATACTCATGTCTTGGAGTAGGAAATGGCAACCCACTCCAGTATTCTTGCCTGGAGAATCCTCGGGACAGAGGACCCTAGTGGGCTGCCATCTATGGGGTCTCACAGAGTCGGACACCACTGAAGCAATGCAGCAGCAGCAGCAGCATACTTATGCCAAGCTTAGATGTTAAATCTATGTCTGCCAAGTTCTATTATAGGTACAGATTTGTATTAGTTTTAAAAACTTAGATATTTTCTCAGTGCAATATATACTTTTAAGTGGTTCATAAAACCATTCTTACTGCTAGATATTAAGGATATCATACATAGGTTTTTCATTGTTTAAGTTTTTTTTTTAATGGATTCTAATGAAATGACTAGGTCAAGGGTATAAATATGAACATTTAAGGCCATCAACACATACTGCCAAAACGGTCTAAAAACATTGTACCGACATACTGTCATGTATAGTCGCTCAATCGTGTCTGACTCTTTGCGACCCCATGGACTATAGCCCGCCAGGCTCCTCTGTCCATGAATTCTCCAGGCAAGAAGTGGGTTGCTATTTCCTTCTTCAGGGGATCTTCCCTACCCAGGGATCAAACCCAGGTCACCTGCTTTACAGGCAGATTCTTTACCATCTGAGCCACCAAGGAACATTAATATGTTGCCATGATGATGCCAATATGAATGTTCATTTTATTAATTACACTCAGTGGCACACCATATGTGGAAATGCAATTTAATAATCTAGAACATTTTTCACTTCAGTGTATTAGATCTGAATGTGAATTTTCACACATATAAAAAATAAGGAGCATTTGATAAAACAAGACAGTATGATTACACTTTTTTTGCTGGATTAAGTAGGTCATGTTACCAAAGGAGAGTGGGAAAGAAAAGGGAAGGGAATAGAAGGATGACATAAAGACAGTGTTAGAAGGGATATTTTTAGAAATGACATATAGAGGGTGAGAAAATAAAAGCATGGTGACAGTGATGCAGAGGCAGTCACAAACAGAAAGGTAGAAGAAAAAAAGGATTGTTTTCTACAGTAGCAGTCTCAAATATTTTGTGGTTAGAAGTTCATATGTTTTCTTCATCTATCATGATAAACAGGGTAAGGTAAAGTCTCAGGAAGAGAAAACACGTTACCTCACCCCTGTCAATGGCCACCCTCCCCCCTAGCTGAAAGAGGACAGCCAGAAGCTTCAAAATCATTCCTACCCTCTCTTCTTCCCTGTCATTAACAAAAGAATCATCTCAAGTATTTTCGCAGTTCCTAAGATCTTTCAGCATTTTTATATCCATATAGTAGAATATTATTCAGTGATAAAAAGAAACGGTGGGAGTAAGAGGGAGTTTCAAGAGGGAGGGGGTGTATGTGTACTTATATGGCTTATTCGTGTTGTTGTATGGCAAAAATCAGCACAACACTGTAAAGCAATTATCCTCCAATTAAAAATTTTAAAAAAGGAATGAGCCATAGAATGGACACATGCATATGTATGGATGAATCTCTTCGCTGAGTCCCTAACAATCACAACATTGTTAATCAGCTATACTCTAATACAAAAAAAAAATTTTTAAACAAACAAAAAACCCCCAAACAAAACAACAACAAAAAAGAAATGAGTCATCGAGCCATGAAAAGATATGCTGCTGCTGCTAAGTTGCTTCAGTCGTGTCCAACTCTGTGCGACCCCACAGATGGCAACCCACCAGGTTTCCCCGTCCCTGGGATTCTCCAGGCAAGAACACTGGAGTGGGTTGCCATTTCCTTCTCCAATGCAGGAAAGTGAAAAGTGAAAGTGAAGTCGCTCAATCATGCCCAACTCGTAGCGACCCCATGGACTGCAGCCCACCAGGCTCCTCCGTCCATGGGATTTTCCAGGCAAGAGTACTCAAGTGGGCTGCCACTGCCTTCTCCTGAGACGATATGGCAGAACCTTAAATGCATATTAAATGAAAAAAATCAAGTCTGAAAAAGATATATGTTATATGAGTCCAACCATACGACATTCTAGAAAAGGCAAACCATAGAAAAAGGAAAAAGAACAATGGTTGCCAGGGGTTTGGCTGGAGAGTGATGAACAGGTGAAGTGCAGAAAATTTTCACAAAGGTAAAACCAGTCTCGGTATGAAACTGGAATGGATACATGTCATTATGTATCTGTCAAAATCCACAGAACTGTACAACACAAAGAACAAACCTTCATATAAACTACAAACTATAATAATGTATCAATATTGGTTGAATAATTGTAATAAATACACCACACTTAATGCAAGATGTTAATAAAAGGGGAAACTGCGTGGGTGGGTGGGTGAGGTGTGAATAAATATAACTAAGTATCTGCTCAACAAGTCTATAAATAGAAAACTATACTAAAATTAAGCCTATTAATTATTTTAAAAGAATACATATAAAATTATATTAAGTATATTGATATTTTCAGACATATTGAACCAATGTTTATGATTAGAAACAACACAAATATGTTGTAGTTCAATTTAACAGACCCAAAATGAAGATGCAGGAACTAAGGACACCGTTTTTAAGAGATTCTGAGGGACTCAGAAAGGAACAGACCATTGAAAAGTTTGAACAAGCACAGAATCACATAAAATAAAGATGTGTTATTTTAAAATTCAACTACACCATGCATAAGCCAAAATATATTACTTGTCGTTACAGAAATAAAAACTAAAGAATATAAGCTAAAGCTTCCACTGACAGGATAAACATTTAAGTGTCAGTCTCCATTTTGAAGACATATTTCTGTTCTCTCCAAATGAAGACCCGATGGGCAAAAGTTCATACTCTGTAATTTTCCAGCTGGATTTTTAAAACAGAAAGCAGTACCAGGCTCTTTTATAATGAAAGGCAAAGAGGCTTTCAAAAAAAAAAAAAAAAAGATCTTCTAAACAGAGACTTTACAGATTCAATTTACTAAAGAGATCTTTCAGAAATTTAACTATACAATTTCACACTTTAATCCAGTGGAGTCATACATGGTACTAGTTTTTGAAACCCAACATTTCCTTTTGACAAATTAAGTGTGATATTCTCAAGTATTTTTGTTTCTTAACTTTAACACATAAGAATTTGAAGATTCTATGCTGCATTTGTAAGAGGAAATAACAAATGCCACAACACCTCTACAAGAAGATCTAAATTATTTCTGATTCCCACTTATCTTAGAGGTTACTGCTATACACTAACACTTAGACATAAGGGTATACTCAACACCCAAAAGTCTAATAAAGTATTTCACAATAGTTTATTTATTTAACTCTTTATTAATCAGGAATTAAAATTATTAGATGAAAAAAGATAAATAATAATAAATGGGATCGGTGTCACTATACAATCCATAGAAGAGCCTTCTCATTTAAATAAATTTTCTATTCTCATTGCCAGGGTACCTCCCTTATCTCTTAATATTTCCAGCTCAGTTTACTACCAGAGAAGTACTTTTACTCAAACTCTTCTGTCTTGGACTTTTAATGCATAGTAAAACATTCAATTTCTGCTTGTACCAAAGGATGCTTGTCTTCCTAACTAAACCATTTCTATTTTAACAGTATTATGTAGTTGTCAGTTTTGTAAACCATGAACTTTCCCATATGTTGTAAGATTTTTAATGTGACTAAAAAATAATTAAAGTTTTGTGTTATCAACAAAAAATAAAATGATTTAAGGCATACATAGTCTTATCTCAT